AAGCTTTCTTCTTGACCCTTGTAACGAGCTTTGGGTCGGTAACTCCCCAGTTGTTTAGACCAAAGGGTACCAGGTTTTGAGATACCCCAACGGACTTAATAACTCGAGTCAAAAAGGCTACGAAGCGAGACGTAAGATTTAACAAAGTGCAATGTTCTTTTTAAGCAACACATGGGGCTTAGATTCCTAGCATATGGTCAATACTTAGCTTATACTTGGCAAAAGACACTCCACACCAATTTTTTTTCAACATCATGCATGGAATCAACACAATTCTCAACAAAATCATTCACCGGCTTGATCACCTCCAAACTTATCTGACAACATGATAAAGTGAAAGAGAAATGGATATAGGTTGATATAATTTTTCAACAGTAACTCACAACCTAAGTTCTACCAATTCAAAAATTTTCCCCATCAAACAATCATTACCACATCCAGATAACAATCAATCATGACAATTGTGCTCAATGGAACTCAGGATCTCACATGGACAAGGCAATTTTCGAAAAAAAATTTGGCAGCATAACAGCATATTTGGATGGCCACGCATGATTCATGAATCAACAACAATTTCAAACATCAACCAATTCAAAACCGGCAAGGCTATCCAACATATCAATACAACATGGCCAATAAAGCACACAGAAAAGCCGGCAAGGCTATACATCAACTCAATTCAACATCAATAGCCGGCAAGGCTCAATACCCCCAAACTTAATCAACACATTGCCCTCAATGTGTAAAGAACAAGCGAAAGGAAAATAGAGACTTCCCTGAATTCCATGTGAAAGGTACCAATGCAAGCATCTGGACTCGTGATGCGCTTGAGTAGCTCGGACCAATGACCTTTTTGTACATCAATGTAATCAGGACCTGCGAAAAATCAGAGACATAGTGGAACTGCAAACATGGCCTACAAAAATAGCGGCATTAGTTCATAAATATAATAATAATAAAAGCAGTAAACACACTAAAAACATGAAATAAAGCAATAAAAACGTTGGGTTGCCTCCCAACAAGCGCTTGGTTATAGTCGTTAGCTCGACTATAGGACTCACATCATTCGGGATTATTCAGACGAACGGCGGACTGTTCTTTGTCAAAGTCATTTCCCAAATATGGCTTCAATCTCTGGCCATTGACTTTGAAATTCCCGTCTTTGTAGTAAAGCTCAATTGCTCCATGTGGAAAAATTTGTGTGATGGTATAAGGTCCCGACCATCTAGAGCGGAGCTTACCAGGGAATAACCGGAGTCGAGAATTATAAAGAAGAACTTGCTGTCCAACACTAAATGGTGACTACAATGGAGAAGAAACTAGGTGCACAACAATGGTGGAAACTCTCCCTTTCCCCCAAACCCGGCTGCCCCCTTTCCCGTTTCTCTCCCTCTCTTGTAGCACACCCACAGTAGGTTGTTTGCAAGCAATCACATGGATAAGGAGAAGAGGATAACAAGGTTGAATCTCCCCAAGAAATCTACCACACATGGTAGCCTCTCATCTCTCCTCTCGGCTGCCCTTCCCTCTCTTCTCTCGTTCTTTTCTCTTGCACACACACAACACCACCACCACACACCACACCTCTAGACACGGTTGGAAAGGGGGGGAATAAATGGGGCATTAGTTTAGGTTACTCAATTGGGCCAAGGGTTACCAATAAATGGGCCAACTACAAACTAAGGTAAATGGGCTACCACAAACCTAAACTAATGGGCTAATATCAAAGCCACAACAATGTACCAACATTAATCCACATCCAACTAGGGTCATCCGAGAAATATAGGTCGTGTCCGAGTCGAGCCCAGTCTATGGTGACGATAAATAATCCGACAGCTGTTTTTCATCATCGCCCGGATTTATTGGGGATCAAAAAACCTAACAAATCTCCACCTTGATTCCTAATAAATCTCGTATCTCCACCTGAAACACAAACCATACCTGCTCCATCTACTCACCAGGGCTAAGGTCAAAAAATACCCAAGTAGAAGCAAGTAATCGCAACAATCAATCAAGAGCAAATAAACATGCGACAGAGATATCATATAGGATAACACAGATCTTCTCAAACACGTTCACACAGAACAACAGATTAACACCAAGTCAATCAACAGGTCAACACATATGCAACAAATGCATAAACGACCCCATGAAAAGATCTCACCAAACTTATCCTATCCCATTCCATGTTGCTCACTCCTCGAGAACACATCTCCTCTTATCGTCCCCATGCTCACTTGACTGATCACTCAACCCATGTCTAACGAGTAAGTCTCCATAGATCCTAAGTCCTCGGGATAATCCTCTATCAACATCACTTCGGGATAATCCATCCGCAAAACACCTCGGGTAATCCATCCACCAATCGTCTTGTACCGCCGTTACCAAACGGGACTCGCCGCCTGACCACCTATGTCAGGAAGACTTTCGACACAAGGCTAATTTGGGGAGATCTCTACCCAACAGAAGTGATAGAAGTGCCTCTCGCACTCTACATCCCCATGCATATCACCAATGCACCTCTAGGCATCTATATTCCACCTTACCATAGACATCTTTACTGCCAACGCATCACAAACCCATCATGGCAAATCAACACCTATCCGGTGACCACAAAGGTTAGGGCTCAAATCTAAATTGACTCACGCACCAACAAAGTTACTCCAATCACCAATGCTCAAAACATCCACGAAGGAAAGGGTGAAGGTGGTACTCACAAAGCGAACAGAAGAAAGAGTTGGTTACTTCACAACACCCACACAGAGAAGGAAGATAACCTCCCGGCTGCCTCACATAATCTCACAAACCAACACAGGCTCACATAGATGAAGGAGAAAATGGATGCCTCTCTAACTTCTCACCACCACTCTCACACCCACTCACAGAGCATGCGGAGTACGCCCTAGTTCTAATCCACAATGTATGCAAACAATTACACCAAGTAATAAGATCACACATGCAAAAAGAGTTACACATAGATGCTCATGCAGTAACCAGGTTTACTCTCAATAAACCTCACACAGGTCATCACTCGACCCAATGACAGAATTCGCTTCACCACTCTAATCAACTCTCCTTTTATCATCATACCTGGGACAGTCTATTCCAACCATGTCCAAATCACCACAGTTAAAACCCATCTCATTGCCGCACTGAGATCATTATCCTGCTCGATAAATATAACTGCAATAATAAAAGGCAAAGAATACGAAACCTAGCGGACCACGTAGGTCCGTAAATATTGAGAGCTGCGAATTCACCACTTTAGGACCATCACTATCCGTCCCAAAGTCTCCGGCAACCACGGCAACACAAAACGACACTCGGCACCCGAACGTCCAAACGCAAACTGGTCTAACTTTCACCGTAGTACCCCAAACGGAAATCCGTCAACACCGTTGAGTCCATCTCGATGTCCCGAGAAAACTGTCTGAAGAACCCATCTCCAAAATCAGGATCACGCGCTGCCCACGCGCCACTACCGGTCGCCCACGCGCCGCCGGCCTCCACCACGCGCCAGTCACCCATGACCGCCTCAGCCTACACTGTCAGCCGGTGGTCTTAGTTTTTCCATCAGGTCAATGGTTTCACCGGAAAATGCAGAAACAGATTCGACAGAAATTTTTCAAATCTGGACAGCTTCTGCCTCCTTTTTCTGGTTCGAATTCTGACCTATTTTTGGTCGATTTTCAGCCTAGTTTTGCCCCAAAAAATGGATTACACCTCCACCATAGCTCTGATACCAGTTGTTAGGGATTTTGGGGCTCCAAAAACCAACTTCCAGGCTCAGAAATAACACCAATCGACACCTCTCGACTCCGGCTCGACCCAA